CATTCATTGATGACTCTCTCGAGTGGGGAACAGGAGTTAGTATGTTCGGTCCCTCCTGCTTAACACTGACCTAAGATCTCTGGATTCATCGTTAGTGCCAAGTTGATGATCTGTTCCTCAACTGACTCTTCACAGGACGAATCCAAAAGAACAGCCCTTGCAATTCTGAATATGTTCGATGACGGCGTGGTACGTCTAATCGAAGGTAGTGATATCGATCGAACACGCAATGCGATCACTTTGACCTGAATCCTGGAGAAAATATGACATTGGGCTCCTCCGCTACAGATTGGGTACCTCTCTGCTAGGAAAAGCTGAACGTACTGTATCGCTGGCGCTAGTACGACTTGAAAAATTGCGCTTGAATGTTCTTTGGAAATTGGGAAGCAGGTGTAGAGGCTGCGAGAATTTAGCGCATCTAATGCTCATGACGCTCTGTAGTGGAACCACTGTCAATTTGGGAGAGCCTTTTCCAATAGCAACGTTCAATCCTAATCATTTAGACAGACCACAACGCCCCCTCCGTATCCATCCTCGTACAAGATCAGGCTGTAATTTGTCAAGATTTCGTATTGTGGAGGGGCATCCAACTCTGTCTCGTGCTCGCCTCTCTAAGGCACCATCGTCTTCTAATCTTCGAGGTCTCCTTACGAAACCTTTGGTGTGTATCGGGACCGCTCTCGAACTTAAGGGTTTCGCGATGTGCAAGTTCTTCCTTGATATCATCGTACGCTAGCCGTTTCTTTGACTTCACGTTCGCTAACATTCACAAGGTCGATAGTCAAATCGCACCTCATAGACGTAGAACTTGCGGATATGACCCTGAAGCAGTGGCCGGTTTGGTTCCTTGAAAGGCCACCAGTCCCAGTGTTGCCCAGTATGAGCTTCGAGAGCACTCTGAAATCGGTCAAACCAAGTTTGTGGCGGCAGATGTTCAGTTCTGCAGTAAACGACGATGCATTTGCCCACTAAAGTATGTGCACGAAACTTCTTCCAGCACGGTTTATCCCACAGGTGTAGATCCATAGGGTTCGCTCTTGAGAATCAGTCAGCAATAGTTTTGAGAGTTGCAAAGTCTTTTGCTAAGTAATGAGGCGGCGTAGGTTATTTTAAGCAACGTTGGCGCCTAGTTGTGAGGAACGAACCAAACGTCGACACACCCTAGCGCCAAGACCACATACCGCCCACCACTGAATGCGAGAATATTTTGCGCTCCCCGTCTTATCACGTATCCCCTTCCTAGCCCTAACGTTAGATCCATCCTATCCAAGCACTCGTCTGAACAAGTTTGCAGCCCCGAAACCGTATTGGGCGCCCTGTGCGAGGAACATGAACTCTATTTTAGACCACCTGCCAGATACTGTTCCCGAAACGTTTTATCGGAGAGCTTCTCGTATGCCTCTTGAAGCTTCTTGAATTCCTCAGTGGTCTCGCCGCCCGTCTTATCAGGGTGTCGTGTGCGCGCCAAGGTTCGATAGCAGGCAGTGAGGAGCAGCTCGAAGCCTTCTGGTACGGTCCGTGGATCGAGCCCCAGCACCTGGAAATACCCTTTGGGATCGGCAACCGGAGCAGTGTTTCCGGACATCTTCAGTGCTATTCCGGCCACTTTTCCTTCCAACCACTCCGGGTACGTGATGGTTTGACGCAATCTGGCTCTCAATTGTTCCGCAGAGTGAGTCCAGGCTGTCGTCTCCAAGCCCAGCTCCCACACCGGTCGTGGCACCAACGCGAGATTGGAAGCCTGACAGGCCTTTTTCATAGTCGGGGCGATAACTGGCCTTGACTCCGAACAACTCTACTTTCCGGATCGAGCTCGCTATGTGCAATCCGTTGCAGCAAAATCCCAATGGCTTGGCTATATTGCACTGTATCGTGTAACCACAGAGACGTAAAGGGTCGCCTCAAGGCCACTCTTAGTACTTTACAAGACTAGGCTCGTTGACACCCTCCTGATTTCTACTATTTTGTCCATTTCTAGCCGCTTTCTAGCCCCCAATAATAGGCGTCAGGATTGAGTCTCTGTCTTGGGTGTATCTTGGACGATCGGCGGGCGCGATTCGAAGCTTCAGCCAATCTCTCATAACGCGGTGTACGGAGAAAGTTGCTGCCTGGTAGGACAACGTGTCCAACAAGAACGAGTTGTAGGCTATTGATAATAACCGCCAAAATCGGTCACCATCCCACGAGGGTTTAGAACCACGATCCATTCTGGTGAATAATGACATCCAGCCCGACCGGTCGGTGTTCGATTCCCAGTGCCTACGAAACAATGATTGGTTCAGAGGCGTAGACGAATCGAAGAATGCCAAAAGTGTAAGGAAGTTACTGACAAGTGGCTCTTGTCGATCATAGGAACGACATATCGCCTGCATAGTCTCGTCGAATGTTGCGTATGCCGAAGATCGATAAGCCCAGAAGAAACGTGGCTGAAATTGAAGAATTTCTTTTGTGTCGGTCTCATAGATGGATAGCAAAGTTGTCATATCCTCATTCTGTTTTTGACGACGTTTCAACAAGGCTGCCATTTGTGTGATGAGCAGAGGTAACCCTCCGAGGCGAGTTATGAGATTCGGAGGTGCAGGCACGTATTCACCAGGTGAGGAGCCTCTTTGCAGTTGAAAGAGCTGTATCGCTTCGTCATCTGAGAGTGGTGGAAGCTCGATAACTTCGGCTATTTGCCTGAACATATCACGTTGGCGCGTCGTGACCAACACATGTACAAAGTCACCTAGAGAACGCAAAATAAGCGGGGGGGG